CCACCATGAGATGTGACCTCCAGAGGGTGGGCTAAACAGTAGGTGAGGGGACCAACTTGCAGGGATGATTAGTGAATAATCTGAGTTCACATAGTTACTGACAGCCCAAGAAAGGATTTGAGCCCAGGACATTTTAAACGTGAAACCGATCCTCCTCCTCCGTGGTGCATGTCATCAACAAGGTGTGTAGCTGGTCTCCATCTCTTAACTGCTTCTCTCCTCCCTGTTTCCAGATTTGAAAACCCCTGCCTTCACCCAAAAGATAGATCCCCTCATCTCTTCACTGTGGGGAGAAACAAGGGACAAATCTTAGATGTCTTTCCTCAGCCCTTAAGACCAGACAGTCCATAACTGGACCTGGCTTAGTATTTAACCTCACTGCTTCACATTACAGTTAATAAAACTGACCCAGAGAGCTCAGGCACCTTGTCTGAGGTCACACAGCCAACTAGTTACAGACAGGAAACAGCGATTCTGGATGCAGCACTCATTGGGTGACACTGGATTGTATTGTTGCTAAATTGGAATAAATTCAGCCTTAAGCTCAGACTGGAGGATGCCATGGATGAACATCTATTAAAACAATACATACTTACATATATATACTTATATATACCTACATACATATATATACACATACATAAACGTGTGTGTGTGTGTGTGTGTGTGTGTGTGTGTGTGTGTGTGTGTATCTCCAAGCAATGTGGAAGTGTGTCCGGAGATGCTTAAAAGCACCCCCTCCCCTCGGGGCCCTCCCCACCCCCTCCCCAGGGGTAGCCACTTAACAGTGCTGTCTCCCATGGCTCCTTAATTCTCCTGCCAGCCACTGGGTCGTGGAGGATCCATGCCACAGCAAGGCTATTTTTAACAAGCATCCCAGGCTTCGGGGGGTTGAGGAGAGGGGAAGAAAACATATTCCATTTGTGTATTTTTAATCCGTGCACATTTGAGCAGGCAGTGGCTTTCCTGTCCCCGCTGCCAGGGTTGTGGGCAATTGATGAGACTCGGGCGCTGAGTAATCCTTTCTCTTCCCCTAACGAGGCTGGAGGGCCTTGGGTTCAGGCCGGTTTCCGGCTGCTGGCGGCCCCAGCTGGCTGCCTCCTGATCCCGCCGCCCCCAGCCCTGTCCCTGGCCGCCTGGAGGAGATCCTGGCTGGGTCTCCGAGGGCAGAGGAGGCCTGGGAACCTGACTGTTGGGCCAGCCTCATATTTAGAAATGTCTCCTGCCAGACGCTGGCGCCAGTCCCACTTGGGCCCTGGGCAGGGGCTGCCGTCAAGCGGGCAGAGCCGGAGTGGGCACCAGCCACTTGGAGGGTAAACACCATCCCTTGTGCCAAGGAGCTGGCGGCAGAGCTGTGCTCAGGGCATGGAGGGAGCCTGTGTCCAGGACAGGTGGGAGGGAGGGGGCGGAAAGGTGACAGGAGGCCTGGCCTGGGAAGGAAGGAGGTGGAGGAGGCCCAGCTCCTTGCCCCACCAGCCCCTGCTCAGGTTCTTGGCCTCCTCCCCAGGTGCCCCAGACTCTGCCCCTGCCTCTAAAGGAGGCCCGTGGCCCCTCCATGGGCCAGACAGTGCCCAAATCCGGCCTTTTCCTTTTCTATCTGTGAGTTCCCACTGGTGGGACAAGAGAGAGGCCACTGCTGCAGGGCTGCTCCTCCTCTCCCCTTTCACATCCATCTGTCGAAGGTGGCCCAGGGTGACGTCATCCCGAAGGGTCTTTCAACAGCACCAGCGCACAGCTCCCCGCCCCGCTGGCTCACCTGCTTTCTTCTCCAAGACACTGTGCGGTGATGGATGAACCAGAACCACGGAGCCAGGCTTTAAATCGTCGCCCTTCTAGGTGACAAATGCCATGCCTTAGCCCTGTGAAAACTCTTTTCTTTTAACACAATTCCTTTAAGGAAGAAGTCGTGGTTCATTGGCTCATGCCTCAGATCTTTCCTGAACAACTGTGCTCTTCCGCTCTACAGTGTCCCAGGAGACCCTGCTGGAGATGGGTGGGGGCTCCACCTCTCTGCTGGTGGGCCTCGGAAACCCAGATATGCAGAGAAAACCGAAGTGCAGCATCAAGACTTAGGCCTGCAGACTGATACCAAGGCAGTGCATGTCCTCAAACCCCTGGCGATACCTCCTCGCCCGCCCAAACTCCCCTCCTCTCCCCACATCAGGGCAGAAGAGCTCCCAGAAGTGGTCCAGAGCTGAGCACAGTGGCACATGCCTGTAATCCTAGTGGCTCCAGAGGCTGAGGCAGGAGGATCTTGAGTTCAAAGCCAGCCTCAGCAACAGCGAGGCGCTAAGCAACTCAGTGAGACCCTGTCTCTAAATAAAATTCAAAATAGGGCTGGGGATGTGGCTGAGTGGTTGAGTGACCCTGAGTTCCATCCCTGGCACCACCCCCCCCCCCAAAAAAAAAAAAAAAAAAAAAAAAAAAAAGACTCTTCCTTCCCTTTGTGCTGGGGATTGAGCCCAGAAAGCATCCACTCTGTCACTGAGCAGGTATTTCCTTTGTATCTTCTGGGAGCCGCGAGAATGAAGTAAAGGGATGATGGACAAATAAACAAGCGAATAGACAAAGGTACAAATGGAAACGGAATCTTTGCTCCAAGGGAACTTAAAATTTAGATGAAAGAGGATGTGCATGTGGGACCGCGTGGCACAGCGTGGTGAAGGGGCTCCTGGGGATCGGCCAACCCCTCCTCTTTACAGGAAAGAGCCCACATGCTGGGAGGAGTGGTGTCGCCCCAATGCCATCCATAGAGGACCTAGGTCAGAGGATGTGAGATCCGGAAACGAACGCAAGGCTGCCCTAAGTGTCCCTCGTCCTTGGGAAAATTGCCTTTTCATATGGTTGGGAGTGGACCGTGCAATTTTTCTTCAAGAGCTAATTGTTTGGCTGACAGCACAGATAATTAGGACTGAGAATCCCGGAGTGAGGGCGACAGCACCATCTGCTGTGAATATGTTTCAGCCCCACCTCACAGGAGAGCCCGGAAGTGCTGCTGTGCACCTCCCCCGCAGAGATGTGTGCACCTGGGCCCAGCTCCAGGTGACCCTGTAGCTGGGGGGCTGGGATGGGGCCTGGCTTCTTAGGGGTGCACTTTCTCCTTCCCCACAGCATCTGCTGCCCTTAGCAGGACTCACTAAGAGGTCCAAGGACTCTAGGCAGCCTCGGGCACAGCACTGACACCCAAGGGCTGATTTCCTGTCACTCACTGGGGCCTCCTGTGTTGAGGCTGTGGCCTCTGATGACTGGATTGGACCTTTGGGTCTGCACTGAGCTACAGGGCTGTTCTTTGAGCTATAGTTCAATCCCTACTGATGCGACAATAGGGTGCGACATCTGCTAGCTGGGTGCGGTGGCGCATGCCTGTAATCCCAGCGGCTAGGGAGGCTGATGCCCGAGGACTGTGAGTTTATAGCCAGCCTCAGCAATTTAGTAAGGCCCTAAGCAATATCGTGAGACCCCATCTCAAAATGGAAAAATAAAAAGGGCTGGGTGGTTCCATGGTTAAGTGGCCAGGATTTAATCCTGGTACCTAATTAATAGTAATAATACCTGCCTTGCTTTTCAAAGGGGCTTGTAAGTCCCTGTGTTGCACAGAAGGGCCTCAGAGACTGAGCCAAGGAGGCTGAGCAGCCCAGGAGGCTCAAGGTCAGCATGGCCTCCCCAGGAATCTGTGGCTCTTTGTCACAGCCCATTTCCTCTCTGCCTGACCGCTCCCGTTGACCAGGTGCCTCCACATTCCTGTCTTCCGCGTCTATCACTAAGTTTGCTGGACGCATTTTTCCTTCAGGGCTGTTCCCAGCCCCTCCTCACTCCCATCCACCTGCTGCCCCCTGGGGTGGCTTGGCAGGGAGGAGTCCCCCTCACACCAGAAGCTGGAAGGAGTGACACCTGGGAGTCGGAAATCCTGGTCTTGACTCTGACACCAGCTCAGACCCTCAGCAAGCTTCTCAACCTCTCTGTGCTTCTGTCTCCTGTCTTTGAAGCACCCCTTCACAGAGCCGCCGGAAGCCCAGTGTACACCACGGGGTACAAGATCCTGGAAGAGCGGAGGCCATTGTGTAAGGGGCACGTAAGACGTGGCCATCTTTCAAAATCGCCACGTGGGCCAGAGGGAAGACTTTGCCCGTCCCTTCCTCTGCTGCCCTCTCCCTGCCCTAGGTTCTTGCCCTGGCCTGCAGGAGCTCCCAGGGTTGGTGTGGAGCTCAGGTCACCTGGGGCAGTGGGAGCCTGGAGGCCAGGCCTGGTTAGAGGCGCAGGGCTGTGACCAACCAGCATGGACCCAGTGTCCAAAGGCAGCCTGAGCAGGATGGCTGCCGCCAGAGGTCCTCTGGCCCTTCCTGGCCAAGTGTGAGCCATGATCTTGACCTTGAAGTGTAGGGATTCAGTCGAGCCAGAATTACCACAGGGGTCTGCGTGTCCTCTCCAGACCCCTATTCAGGACCTCCCTGTCCACCTTGAGTCCTACCCCTCACCCCGGGAGCTCTGCATCCCTCCCTGTCTCCCGCTTTGAGAAGGGTATTGGAAAGCGGTTCGTCACCTACACAGGTGCGGCTCTCCTGCAGCCTCCCAGATCACAGCACTTCAAAGCCTCGCCTCAGGGTCCTGGGGAGAAGAGCAGAGAAGCGTTCCATCTCTTGAGTGCAAAGGGCGTCTGTTTTCTTCTCCTTGCTGGGGTAATGGTGCAGCTCACAGGTTCTTTTAGTCTGAGCTACACTCTAAATGAGGCTGGATTTGCTTGCGTGATTGGAAGATGGGTCTTTTAGACAGAATGAAACATGCAGAGATAAGAAAATAGGAGTGGAGGGTGTGTGTGTGTGTGTGTGTGTGTGTGTGTGTGTGTGTGTGGGCCTGGAGCAGGACATGATCACCAGATCACTAAAGATGACAGAGTTGTAGTCACCAGGCACTGATGTCATAATAAAGAACCATGCAGGGATGGCTTGAAGATTCGAGACCCGTTCACCACGGGGACCTGCGTCTCTAGTCCTGATTGGTGACAGGGGCGTCTCTTCTCTCTGCAGATCCCCTCTGAAGCAGCTGGGAACTCAGAAGGCTCCCCATCCTGGAGGAGAGTTTCAGCCAGAGAGGGAGAAGGGATGGCGTGCAGCCCACCCAGGGCTTGAGGTGGAGCGAAATCCACAGCCTGTTGGACCTGGAGCCTCCGAGTGGGGGTTGCACCACTGGGGTGACTCAAGAAGAATCGATGCTACAGGCCCCAGCGACATGTACATGGTGTAATGACAGGTAATGAACCTGAAGCTCGTCTATCCTTTATGAATGATATGGCAGGTAGGAGAATATATCAGCCTGCAGGAGACACCAAGTGTCAACCCACGGGAAGATAACTATGCAAACAAAGCTCAGGAAGGCCTGATAAGAGGATGGATGGATGCTTTATAGTTATTAGTTTTTGCCCACGTGCTTGCCAGAGCCACGCACCGGAAGATTTAGCATCAGCGGGGTTCACTTCCTTGCCTTGTGGGAAGGCTTGGTGCCTGGGTGGATGTAGCAGGTCTTACTTGAGGAACTCAGAGTTACAAATCAGGAAGTCGTTACCTCGGTCACTCTTGTGGGAGGCAGGGAATTTATGCCGATGGGGAAACAGAGGCAGCAAGGGTGCAGGAGCTCTTCCTTGCATCCGTAATATAGGAGGGTGGACCTGGACACCTTGCTGGTTGGGAGGTCTTCAGGTTCGGTTCAGACGCCTTGAGTAACAGAGTATAATGGTTCAGTGCTCCTTAGGAAAAGAAGAAAAGAAGGCTGTGGCTCCCCTTCCCTTCCAGGTGCCAGGACAAATGGAAGATGACCCAAGGCGGCCAGGGAGGTCATGAATGGGGGTCTGGAGAGGACACGCAGTCTGTCTGGCAGTTGATCTTGAGTCTAGCAGTTGAACCAGGGACTTGGTCAAGGCAGGAAGCATCAAGAGATCCCCAGAGCCAAGCGGGCAGGGATTTGAGACTGGACAGAGGGGACCTCTAAGGCTGGAGACCCGAAGGCTAGCTCATTCTGACGTCAGAGCCTGTTCCTCTGCCTGTCTGGTCTTCCCTGTGCGTGCCGTGCCGTGCAGGGTACCACTCTGGCAATTTCCACCACAGGGGAAATGGCAGCTGAGACGGAAGCAAAAATAGCTTGGAGCCTTGGGAAACTGAGCAGGAAAGGGGAGAAGGGCCAAGGGCCTGAAGTGGGAGGCCCCAGAGGGTGTGGCAAATTCCATTCCAGTGCAGGCCAGTGTCAGGGTCCTCAGGTCAGAGCCCAGGGCTGGGGAGGGGCAGAGCAGCAGGACTTCTGGGTGGCCTTGTTCTAAATCAGGCAGAAAGAGTAGGTTGAAGGGATCCAGAAAGCTGAGCCCAGCTCTTGGGAAATGGGCCAGCCACAGGCACCAGACAGGCCCAGGACCTGACTCCGGTCTTAAGTGATAAAACCGAAGGGGAACTGAGCTCCCGGGGCTGGTGGTGCCTGGGGGTCTTAGCTGGGAGCAGGCAACCACACAAGTGCCTGGGGCTAACTAGGACCTGGGGGTGTATCCCCCCCCACCCCAGCTGTCAGCTGGGCAGGTGGTCTGCACATGTAAAGTTTGGCTGGGGGCTAGCACCACGGCCTTGTGGTGGGAGGTCATGGAGAACAGGGTGGAGGTAGCAAAGATCCAGCCCTGTAGGCTGGGCGAGGACTTCTATCACATGCATGGCCCTGGGGAGGAAGGGGCCGGGTGCCTCCTGACCTGGGCCAGACAGAGCAGAGGCCATACTCTGCCAGATGTTCTCAACTGATTTTGCTAGTATTTACCAAGTACCTGTGTGTATTGGGCACCACACCCCGTGCCAGAAAAGCAGTGAATGAGATGCAGCCTAATCTCTGGAGAAGGGCGTGGTGGCAGAGAAAAGCCCAAAGCCAGGTCCAGGGCTCTGGGAGCCATAGGCCCTTGTCTTCAAAATAGGGACCACCCTGTCTCATGCCTAGGCTGGTAAGGAGAGTTCAATAGAATAAAACATGCAGCGCACTGAGCCCAGCAGCTGGCACCACCATCAGTGGTCAGTGTATTTCGTTGACTTCCATTGTTTTGCTCTGGGCAGAGCTCAAGGTTGCTGGGCTGCGAACAGGGGAGGCTGGAAGAAATTCATTCTGACTCTTTTGGTGACTGACAGCCTTTGAGGCCTGGTGATCAGAACTCCTCTGGCCAGAGAAAATGTGGTTTAGAGTGAACCCTACATTCAGGATAGGTGACTGCGTATTTGGGGGCTGTGCCAGTTGCTGGGCTGGAGTAAGACAGGAGGCAGGAGGGGCAGACCCAGGAATTTGGTCAAGTGTGGAGAGGAGAGAACATCCTCAGAATGCTTGGAGAGTCTTGACTCCTGCTTCCAACATAGCTCCATGTCTAGGGGCAGGGTGGGGGTATGCAGCAGCCCAGGCAAGACCAGGGATCCCGAGTACAAGTGGCTCAGTAGTGATGGAGGGTGACGGCAGTCATAAGGCACACCACTCATTTCAAGTTTGCTAGTAGGTGCATTGAAAATAAGCAAGTAATATTCATTTTAAGAATGTACTTAATTTAGCTCAATATGTCCCAAATATTTCCACTTGAACATACAATCAATGTAAAAATTAGGAAGGAAATATAATTTTTACATTGTAGTTTTTTTGTATAAATTCTTTGAAGTCCAGGGTATGTTTTATGCTTATAGCACATCTTGGTTGGGACTAGCCGCATTTCAAGTGTGCAGTAGCCACATGTGGCTAATGGCTACTGGGTCGTTTAACACAAGGTCTAGAATCTAGAATCTCTTGCCAAGGAGCACCCAGGGTGGATCCTGAGCTAAACAGCAGGCTCCTGAGCTTAACATTCCCTTCTTATGAAAGGTCTCCAATGAATCCCCGGAGAAATTCACTTCAACAATAAATTCTATCTTGGTGGCTCTAGAAGGTGCTGTGCATCCTCAGGAGCCAGCCCTGGCTCCAGGATGGGGCCACTCGTGAGTTCTGGGACCTGACTTCATGCTCTCTTCAGTCCCCTGAGCCTCAGAAGTTCCATGGAAATTGGAGCTAATAATTTCTATCTTGCTGGGCAACTCTGAGGACTGAAACAGTAGTGAGTAAGTTTCTCTGTGACACTCCATGTCAAGAAACGATTCCTTTTATTTTTCCCAAATCGAATGAAAACAAGTCTGAGTTCCCTCACTGGCTGAGTTTGGCAAAAGTTTCCGAGCAGGCATTTCTGCAGCTCCTTCTCCACCCTTCCGGTGCCTGGGAACTGTGGGGGCTCGGCGGGGCAGGAAAAACGGGGAGTGTTGAGGGAGGCTGGACCTTGGCCCATGCTGGTGAATGAAGCCGCTGTGGCCCGTCCTTTTGCAGGCTGTGGGTCAACCGCAGGAGGCAGGCCCCTGCATCCGGCTTGTGTCCCAACACCAGCCCCTGCCACAGGGGATGCCAGGTCCCAGGCCACCCTCTCTAGGGAGTCAGCATGGCCAAGGTGGGTTCTGGTGGGCTGAAGGTTGCCAAACACTCTGGGACCCAAGTCATCCCAGCTGTCCTGGGGGTCCAACCTAGGGGTCCTCCCCTGAAAGCTGGGTATCCTTCAGCCCTCTCTCCCCAGCCTCCAGCAACAGCCTTCAAAACAAAGGCCCATCTCCACCTTATCTTTCTTTTCATGGCCATAAAAATACAGATAACTCCTCCTTAGGAGAAGAGAGCCCTAATCTCAGTGTCACCAAGTATGGCTCTTCTTCCTGGGGGTTGGGAGACAGGGGTACATTTCTTGTTATTCTGAGACTAGTCTCTGCAGTCACCAGCAGAACGCAGTGACTTCCCCTCACTTAACCTAGTATCTTCGCCATAGAGCTTCAGCGAGGTGCACTCTCCACAAGGTCAAGTTCCCCATGCCCAGCCCATCTGAAAAATGTGTTGAGTAATCTCTGTCCTCTGAGGTTTTCCTGAGACTCACATGAGCTGCGACATATGGAAGTCCACTATAGAGTTATCACATGTTGTGGAGACTGCTGATTCCCTAGGAGCTGGGTGGAGGCTGCTGTGGGGTTCTGAAGCGCCCCCTCTCCATCTCGCACACGTGGTGCGCTGTGCGTGTCCTCCCTGTGACTCAGGGACTTGCTCCCACCAGGCTCTCCACCCTAGGGTGCACTCCTCTGATTTAACGCTTCTCCTCCAGGACGAGGGAGGAACTTGTCTGTTCATGGGAGGGAAGGGAGACCCTGACGTCTTTATTTTCCCTCGGTCTGTGGGCTGGAGTCTCTAACCAGGCTCCCATACAGATTATCATGGATGTTCATAGTCCATCCGTCCTGCAGAACCAAGGAAGCCCGCAGGCCCTCCCCAGCCCCTGGAGTGGGTCTGGTGAGGACTTCTGGGCTCAGAAAGGAGGGATCCTGGCTGATCCCACATCCTCCTACCTTACCTGGTGTTGGGGAACAGGATCAGAAGGTGCAGGTGGGAGACACGGAGAACTGGGTGCTCTAGCTGTGCTAGAATTGGGGCACAGGCTTTGAAACAAATGAAACCCAGTTCCGACCCCAGGGTTTCAAGGTTGGGGCCACACTGGACTGTGTGCGGGGGGGGGGGGGGGGGGTTGGCCCTTGACGCTTGCTGCAGTGGTATTTGGGTCATTCTAGACAGGACCTACCCCCTGAAGGGTAGGCCCCCACCCCCTCTGCAGCTGTCTCCTGTTCCCTACCACCTCTCCTGGGCCCTGAGCTGTTAAGGGTGTCACGGATCCTAAGAGTCCTCCAAACCAGTATCATTGTGACCTAACATCTCTTTTATAAGCTAATCTATGGCATATTTGGGGACCAGTTTGTGTGTGGGGGGGGGACCTACATAATAAGGAGCATTTAGATAGGGCAGTAGTCATGGCTTTTTCTTAGTTTGCTGTGTGACCCGGTGCAGATCTCTTAACTTCCCTGGGCCTTAACTGTTCCCCTCCGTTCAGTGGTCATGAGAAAGTGCCCTCTCTGATTTTGCTGCATGCATTCTGAGAGCCAGAGGCACAAAGGCCCTCGGTGGCCCAGGATTTGCCAGCATTATTGCAGAACCCTTTCCTCGCCAAGTCTAGCACCGTGCGCTCTGCTCTGCAAAATTAGTGCGTGTATTGCTTCCTAGGGGCCCACGGGGAGAAGCTCCTCATATATCACCTTAAATTTTGCAGCAGGGAGAAGCAGAAAGCCACATTGCCCTTGACTGACAACCTTCATACATGTATTTAACAATTTTAATTTTTCATGATTCTTCTGATAAAAATA